TCTTTACTACTAGCACCACCTAGGAAGCCCTCTTTACCACTAGTGCCACCATTATATATAAAATAATTATTATATATGTATATATATAATATACTGTATTATATATAACTGTATAATATAACTGTATATTGGTGACATACTGATGCTTTTCTATTTTTATATTTATGAATAAAATATAAAAATGAAAAGTATAAAGTGAAAAAAGTATAAAAATGAAAAAATTAAAAATTTTATGTTCATGAACATAAAATTCATTATGAAACTGAGGATCTTTTCCATAAATTATTAGAATTATTAAGAGTTTAGCAGGGTGGTTGACTACTGTATCAGTATATAAAAATCAATATATAGAGTATATTATATGTACAGAACATGTTGACTATAATGTCAATATACAGAAATAAATATATGTCACATCAATATACTAAAATCAAATGCATCTCTCTATATGAATATTAAATAATATGAAGTAATTATATTAGAATATTAAATAATTACCTTTTAAAACACACACCATTTACAACAGCATAAGGAATCAAATATTTAGAAGCAAATCTAACAATAGCTAGAAGGCTTCTAGGAAGAAATATAAAATTTAAAGAGGGATATTTGAAAAGGCCTAAGTTAAATAGTAAGTCTATAACACTAGATTGAAAGACTCAATATTATAAACATATAAATTCTTCATTTTTAAATTAATTTATTTTTTATTGAAGGATAATTGCTTTCCAGAATTTTGTTGTTTTCTGTCAAACATCAACATGAATCAGCCATAAGTATACATATATCCTCTCCCTTTTGAACCTCCCTCCCATCTCCCTCCCCATCCCACCCCTGTAGGTTGATACAGAGCCCCTGTATGAGTTTACTGATAATATATCAATTCAATCAAGATTCCATCAAGATTAAGGATTTAATATAAAATATCAAGATTTAATATAATCCTGATAAAATTCCATTCTCTTCATGAAATTTGCAATGTGTGGTCACACATCTGTTCTCTACATCTGCATGTCCATTCCTTCCCTGCAAATAGGTTCATCAGTACTACTTTTCTAGATTCCATATATATCCATTAACATACTATATATGTTTTTCTCTTTCTGACTTACTTCACACCGTATAACAGGCTCTAGGTACATCCACCTCACTACAACTGATTCAATATTGTTCCATTTTATGCCTGAGTTATATTCCATTATATATTATATATGTGTGTATATATGTATATATATGTATGTACATATATATGTATATTTTATATATATTATATATATATATGTGTCACATGTTCTTTATCCATTCATCTGTCAATAGACATCTAGGTTGCTTCCATGTCCTGGCTGTCATAAATAGTGTTGCAGTAAACACTGGGATTGTGTCTTTCTGAATTGTGGTTTTCTCAGGGTATATGCCCATAGAGGGATTGCTAAGTGATATGGTAGTTTTATTTCTAGTTTGTTAAGGAATCTCCATATTGTTCTCTGATGTTTTTGACATGCAGCCTTTTTAAAGTCTTTACTGAATGTGTTACAATATTGCTTCTATTTTATGTTTTTGGTTTTTTGGCCACGGGCTTGTGGGATATTAGCTGCTCAGCCAGAGATGGAGTAGGCACCTCTTGCACTAGAAGGTGAAGTCTTAACCACTGGACTACCAGAAAAGTATTTGAAAAAATTTAAGTATATGAAGAAATATAAATCTGCATATTGTGTAATTCCATTTCTAGAAATATATCCTATAGGAATGCTTGCATATTTTATGCCAGGACATATGTACAAGAATGGTTGTAATAGCTGAAATACAAATGTCCATCAAAATGAATGGATAAAGAAAGTAGGCTCTAATAATGGAATGAAATACACTATAGCAATAAAAATGAATAAATTACAGCTATACACAACATCATGAATGAATCTCATTAGCATTATGTTGAGTGAAAAAAGTCAAACACAAAAGACAACACACTATGAGTAAAATTAAACTCTGTGTTTTGTAGTCTCAGCTGATTGGTAGTGATGCTCTTGGCTAGGAATGCCCAGGGCGTTCAGCGGGGCCATAGTACTTGTAGTGAGTGCTACACGCAATCCTCTCCATCACCACAGGGACCACTGTGTGTCTGGCCCAAGCCTTGTGGTTCTTATTATGATAGCAGGATGCACTTAAGTAAAAACTATAAGGGAAATTTGAGGAACACGATTGATCACTCACAGGCCCTGGAGGGTACATGGCACACCCAAGGGCCACACAACAAGGTGGCAGATAGAATGGGAGAGAAAGTAGACCGAGAGCTCTGATTTTACTAGCATAGAGGGTGGGGTGTCTTGAGTTTCAGGGTTTCACTCTATGTTGCCTAATTTAAAGCTTAAAAGCAAGATTCAGGGGATGGGAGAGGACAGAAGGGTCTCTCCAGTGGTCAGTTACCTGGATTACTGAGAACTTTCTGAAGGGAATCTTCATTGGTAGGAGTAAATTAACTCCTTATCTACTTGTTTTGCTGGTAGCTGTGTCATATAGCCAGCTGGCTTATGCCCACAGTAATGCTCTTGGCCCTCCCAGGAAACAAGCCTATTAGCAATGTTATTCAGTCACAGTCATATCCAACTCTTTGCAACTCCATGGACTGCAGCACACCAGGCTCTCCTGTCCCTCACCATCTCCCAAAGTTTGCCCAAGTTCATGCCCATTGCATCGGTGATGCCACCCAGCCTTCCCATCCTCTGATGCCCTCTTCTCTTTCTGCCTTCAATCTTTCCCAGCATCAGAGACTTCTCCAATAAGTCGACTCTTCACATCAGATGACCAAAATACTGGAGCTTCAGCTTCAGCATCAGTCCTTCCAATGAGTATTCAGGGTTGATTTCCTTTAAGATTGACTGGTTTGATTTCCTTGCTGTCCAAGGGACTCTCAGGAGTCTTCTCCAGCACCACAGTTCGAATCAATTCTCTAGCACTCTGCCTTCTTCATGATCCAACTCTCACAACCATATGTGACCACTGGGAAGACCATAGCCTTGGTTATATTATTAGCAATAAGTGACAGCCAATCTGGCCGGTTTTAAATTTCCAGCCTGGTGCCTCAGATGGTAAAGAATCTGCCTGCAGTGCAGGAGACCCAGATTTGATCCCTGGGTCAGGAAGATCCCCTGGAGATGGGAATGGCTACCCACTCTAGTATTCTTGCCTGGAGAATTCCATGGACAGAGTTGCCTTGTGGGCTACGGTCCATGGGGTTGCAAAGAGTTGGACAGGAGTGAGCAAGTAACACTTACAGTGTTAGGCTCAAGTATTTTGTTGGGAGCTTTGTTGATCTCTAAAATATTAGCCACATAGAAAACTGTGTGTGCATGCTCTGTTGCTCAATCGTGACCAACTCTTTATGACCCCATGGTCTATAACTGACAGGTTCCTCTGTACATGGAATTTTCCAGGCAAGAATACTGGAGTGGGTTGCAATTTCCTACTCCAGGGGATCTTCCTGATCCAGGGATCAAACTCATGTCTCCTGTGTATTCTGCATTGACAAGTGGATTCTTTACCACTGTGCGGCATAGAAAATTGTACCTGGAATCAATCCCAAAAACAGACTTTTAAATTCTCCACACCAAAAAAAAAATCAATAAAAATATGAACAATAAGTCATATTTCACAACAGTGGTCACATGAATTAGCAATGGAAGATACTGTATCCAACCTATGAAAATGAACAGGGCATTTGGGGATTTAAGGAGCCACAACCACCACCACCATCATCTCATGCATATTAAACATTATGTGTAAAGAAAACAGCAAAACATTCTCTAGTACCATGTGAAACACTCACTGTGTGAATGCAACCCCAGGAAAGCTGACCTATAGCTTCACCTCATCTTCTGATTGAGCCTCACTTATATAAAAATCTTGGAGCTGCCTCTGCATTTTAAGAAACTTTATAACTTTGGAAATCAGTCACTACATGATCTTCCAAAGTAAAGTCACAAAAATTCTGACCATAATAGGTGTTGACCCCTGGGTGCCAGTATTTCTATGCTATTAAATAAGCAGGGGTTTACATTGGTGTCATTTGTCACACAACCAAGGTCAGTTTCATTTACTTTCATTTAATGCCTAATTCACTGTGGATGGGAAAAATTCTTGTCTTCCTTCTATTGGTCACTGGCTGGGCCTAAGACTTTTGGCATAAGACAGAATAACAGGAGAAAAGCATACACATTTTGTTAAATTTTTACATATACCTGGGAGCCTTCCCAAGAGAAAGAAGACCTTAAGTGACCAGAATAAGGAAGCTTTTATACTTTTTTAGGCAAAGGAACAATATATTTGTGAAAAACAAGACAAGGGGTTTGGGTTATGAGTCATGAATAGTGAAGTAACAAGGAATATATGGGTAGTTTAACAATCACATTTTTGTTTATGCAGCCTTCCTGGCCTTGAATTCCGTGTCTCTGGTGGTAAAGTTTTTCCCTCCTCCTGGCACAGGGAAGGTGATTTCCACAGGGAACTTCAGGAAAACAAACGAAAGTCAGCATGTCCTTGCAACGCTGTGTCTCAAGTACTTTAATTTAAGTAATCAATATGCCCAAGTGACATACTTGGCGGTGACATAGTCTGAACCTCTTCACTAGGTGCCCTCAGGGACAGAGTTCTTATCTTTAGTTTCTGATTCATTTCTCTATAACCCACTGTGAATGGAATCCATCTGCTCAATTTTTTTTTTTTTTAATGCCATGGTACTTCCACATGGAATGGAATGATGGATTGTGAAACAGCACATTCTGAAGAGAAGTGCTCAGAGGAGCAGGTGGGAGCAGCTGTGTCCACTATTAAAGGAGTGTGTCTACAGTTGTGCATATTGACATACTTCTTATAAAAAAATACCAAAATTACAGTTTTATCACCCATTATTGGAAAGTAATGTTATGTTCATGACTTCTGTTAAGAGTGCTGAATTCTATATAGGGATATCTTGAATTTTTGTTTTCCCTTACTTGTTTTTCTAGGGTGATCCAGTTGACAATATATTTGAACAGAATCTAAAGATCAAGTTTTACATCAGTTCTGGGTCCACATCTCCATCTTCGTATAGTGGAGACGAAGCAGACACAGTGAAGGTACCTCTCTGGGGTAGATTTGCTTCAGAACTTTTCACTGGTACCAGACAAAAGGAGACTGAATCCTGTTCAGAACACAGTGCCCTTTCTCTCTAGTCAGATGCATTGCTTAGATAGGAACAGTCTATAGAGAATATTAAGTTTAGCTGGTAGTAGTTAATATTAAGTTTAACTGATAACCATGTCCATGAGGGGACATGGTCTGGCAGGGAGAGAACTCTCGTTATTTGCATTGCTTTATTTATTTATTTATTTATTTTTCATCTGTTTTTATTCATTGGAGGCAGTCACTTCACAATATTGCAGTGGTTTTAATTAACATCAAGGAGTTAAGCTGTAACAGGAATATTTTATATAGTCTTATCACAACATAAAGTCTGATATTAGGTAAAGCATAAAGATACATTTGCTAAACAGACTCACAAACTTTGAAAACAAATTTATGGTTACCAAAGGGGAAACTTGGGCAGGGCAGAGAGGGATAACTGGGAGTTTAGAATTAACAATACATGTGCTGTGCTGTGCTTAGTCACTCAGTGTTGTCCGACTCTCTGCAATGACATGAACTGTAGCCCATGAGGCTCCTCTGTCCATGGGGATTCTCCAGGCAGGAATACTGGAGTGGGTTGCCATGCCCTGCTCCAGGGGATCTTCCTAGCCCGGGTATCCAACCCAGGTCTCCTGCATTTCAGGCAGATTCTTTACCATCTGAGCCACCTTGGAAGCCCAGAAATACTGGAGTGGGTAGCCTATCCCTTCTCCAAGGGATCTTCCCGACCTGGGAGTCAAGCTGGGGTCTCCTGCACTGCAGGCAGATTCTATGTCAGCTGAGTTACCAGGGAAGCCCATAAATCACTATATTCTAACATTAAATTAAAACAAAAACTACAAATAGTCCTCCTGAGGCCATCCATCATGCAACAACAACAACAACAAAAAACCCACAAACAAAACAAGACAAAAATACTTTGCTACTGTTCTTACTAAAATGTAAGATAATTTTGTGTCTCACATGATGGCATACAAAATATCTCTTTGTGGCCCTTTATGATAATCAGAGAACATGACTCTCGGCAAATGTTTCCTCCAGAAATCAAAGGGTTTGGTGTCTCCCAGCTCATATTTTCCATCTTCAGAAATGCTACTTCCCTCCTCTGCATTTCACTCACCCTGGTTAATCTGGGTAGGGTTTCTCGCTACCCACTCTGAAATCCTAAGGACTAGGTGGCGAGTTCTTCCAGAGATAACATGGTTTAGTTTGGAAAATTTCAGTGTGGTTTATAGCCAGGTCAGACATTGTTTTCAAATTCTACTCAGAGGGCTTAAAATGTTGATAACAATTTTATTTTATTGTTTTAAAATTTTAATAATATCTCTCTCATGGAGGAAGGTACAAGGAATAATCTATCACAAGCCCATATACCTATTACCCACAAATTAAGAAAACAGTTTGCCATTCTTGTTCAGATAAAAAGAAAATTGGAATGAAACTGAACAGTTGAGCCCATCAAGCTGCATTCTTTGTCCTGGGAGGTGATCAGATGTTTTGAAATAGTGTGCATTCTTCTGTCCACCCTCTTATATTTTATATCATAGGCATGTGTTCTTCAATTTCAAAGGATTGCTTGGTCTTCTCAAAATACACAAATAATATCCCTATTGTGAAAATAATGTACTATTTTCACAGAATTTATTCATGTCAAGACAGTTCATCTTTAACTGCTGTGTAGTATTCCAGATTGTAAATATACTTATTTATACATAACCATGATTTATATAACTATGTTCCTTTTTATGTATTGATGTCCTTTTTCCTTATTACAATTTCTCTATCACAAAGAGCCTGTTGGGACCTGCTTGGCTATATACATATGGGAGAATTTGTTAGTTACTAGCTAGTAGAAATGCATATTTTCAATGCATAATTTTGCCAAAGGTTTTAATTTTTTGAAACAGTCACAGATTTTACAGAAATACTTCAAGTGCGGTATATATTTATTTTTCCTAGACTATTTGAAAGTTGTCATTTGATTTTCCATCACCTTGAATACTTAATCTCATACTTCTTACAAATAAGAATATTCTCCTGCATCTTATTCATATACAGTACAACCATCATCACTAACACTGATGCATCACTATTGACTATCTAATCCTCAGACCCCTTCAGGTGTCACTAACCGCCGCTTCGTGTCCATTATTGCAACAACAACAAAAAAAAGCAGTTCAAAATTGTACTTTGCTCTTGATTGTCTCTCATTAGTTTCTTGCCATATGGAAGTCTCTTGCCATATTAGTCTCTTGCTAAAGTCTTTCTTTGACTTTGTTATCTTGATACTCTCAAAAATCACAGGCTGATTTAGAATAGAATATTTCTCATTTTACAAATGCTTTCTCATGACTTGATTCAGGTTATTCATGTTTGTCAAAAATATCACAGAAGTGATGCTGTGGTCTTCTCCTTGTATGCTATCAGGTGGTACATAATTTTGATTTATTCCATTGCTGATCATGCTTACTTGACCTCTGCACTAAGGTGGGAAATTCCAGGCCTGTCCATTGTGAAATTACTTTTTTCCCTTTGTAATTAATAAGTATTTTGTATAGAGGTACTGTGAAGCAGTAAGTACCACATTTCTTAACAATTTACAATTTACTTGTATCTGTATGGACACATAGTTTTTCATTTTACTCCATTGCTTACAATCCATTATAGTCATAATTTATTCTAGTGTTCAAATGGTTATATAGTTCATCTTGTATTTTGCCAGCCATGTATTTAGCCATCTCTCCAAGGAGCACTGATTGCTTTTAGTGGAAAATGGTATTTAGAAGACAAGATCTGGGTGTTAGGTATGCTCGTTGCTATGGGATGTCACTATTCCAGAATGCTTGTTGGATAGAGATAGAGAAAAATATATTTACATATCAGTCTCTATGTAGAAACCTATGTATCTGTGTATCTGTCATCTATCTGTTCATCTATCATCTCTACTCTCCTACTCACCTACCTACTTATCTAACTGCTGATGCTAAGTTGCTTCAGTCGTGTCCAACTCTGTGCGACCCCATAGACGGCAGCCCACCAGGCTCCCCCATCCCTGGGATTCTCCAGGCAAGAACATTGGAGTGGGTTGCCATTTCCTTCTCCAGTGCATGAAAGTGAAAAGTGAAAGTGAAGTCGCTCAGTCGTGACCGACTCTTAGCAACCCCATGGACTGCAGCCCACCAGGCTCCTCCGTCCGTGGGATTTTCCAGGCAAGAGTACTGGAGTGGGTACTTACCTATAAAAACTGTGAGTTCATACACACATTTATACCTCTAATTCCAAGCCAACATTATAGGTTTCATTCTAGTTTTCTCCTTTTCTACATTGGTAACTTCTTTTTGTGACAGTGAGAAACTTGATCCTTTATTACTCTCAATAAACTTATTATTCTGTCACCTCTGTGCTCTGTGAGCAATCTGCCATCTCTGCAGCTGCCTCATCACTTCTCACACTGCATGGGTTCTGTGTCGCTACCTTAGATTACTCTCCTTGTGCTGGGAGAGTACACTCATCTACACTCATCTCACCTTGCTGGGAATAGAGTTTTTAAAAACCAATTTCTACTCGCACTTAGCAGCACATAAGAGTTCTCATTTCCTTATACCCATGTCGACACCTGCCACTAAGAGACCACTGAAATTTTGTAATTCTGGTAAGTATGAAGTGGCATCTAATTATTGCTTTCATTTTGTCATGTAGAAGTTTTTCATTCTATTAGTAAAATATCTCTCTCTCCTTTTACTGCTTGAGGTTTTTAATTGTTTTCTAAGAATTCCATTTCTATCCTATCCTTCTGTCCTTGAAGTGCCAAAAAGGTTTAAAGTTTTGCTTTTTGCATTTAGGTCCTTAAATCAACAGGAAATTATGTCTTTGTTTGCTCTGAAGTAGGAATCTGACTTTTGCCACCATGACAGTTAGTTGTCCCAGGCCCAATTCATTGACCAGTCTATCAACTCCTAATAATTTGTAATGTCACTTCTATCACATATCAGCTTTATTTAGTTATTTACTTACTTATTTTGTTGTAAAATATACATGCTTTTGTACTGTGGTGTTCAAGAAGAGTCTTGAAAGTCCCTTGAACTGCAAGGAGATCAAACCAGTCAATCTTAAAGTAAATCAGTCCTGAATATTCATTGGAAGGACTGATGATGAAGCTGAAGCACCAACACCTTGGCCACCTGATGTGAAGAACTGACTAGTTGGAAAAGAATCTGATGCTGGGAAAGATTTAAGGCAGGAGGAGAAGGGGACGACAGAGGATGAGATGGTTGGATGGCATCACCAACTCAATGGACATGAGTTTGAGCAAGCTTCGGGAGTTGGTGATGGACGGGGAAGCCTGGCGTGCTGCAGTCCATGGGGTTGCAGAGTTGGACACGACTGAGCAACTGAACTGAAAATATACATAAAGCCTTCCCAGGTGGCTCAGTGGTAAAGAATTTGCCTGCCAATTCAGGAGACATGAGTTCAATCTCTGGGTCCAAAAGATCTCCTGGAGAAGAAAGTGGCAACCCACTCTGGTATTTTTGCCTGGGAAGTCCCATGGATAGAGGAGCTTTCAGGCTACAGTCCATGGGGTCACAAATGAGCTGGACACAACTTAGTGAACAACAACAACAAAATTGGCATAACAAAGTATTCCATCTATTCACTTTTAAGTGTAGAGTTCAGTGGAATAAATTACTTTCACAGTGTTCTGCAAATGTAACTATTACAGTATTTATTTCTCAAAATTTTCCATCTCCACAAACAGAAGTTTTATCCTCATTAAACCATAACTTGACATTTCCTTTCCCCTCAGTCCCTGGTAAACTCTCCTCTACTTTGCATCTCTGTAAATTTGCCTGTTCTATACATTTTATATAAGTAGAGTCATATAACAGTTACCCCTTTTTGTCTGGCTAATTTCACTTGGCATAGTATCTTCATATTTCACCCATGTTATCATGTGTGTCAGAATTTCAATTGTTTTTAAGGCAAAAGAATGGACAAATAGACCAATGAAATATAATGAAATGCCCAGAACCATACAGAGGAACAAATATAGTCTCTTCAACAAATGGTGCTTGAAAAACTGGACTTGCACATGCAAAAAATATAAACCTTAGACACAGACCTTACGCTATTCAAAAAATTAATTCAAGATGGATCATTAGCCTACTTTTAAAATGCAAAACTACAACATAGGTTAAAGTCTCAGCAACCTTGAGTTAGATAATGACTTCTTAAATATAAAGTCAAAAGCATGAGCCACAAAATAAATTTTTGATAAGTTGCACTTCACTAAAATTAAAAACTTTTGCTCTGTAAAAGAGACTGAGAAGACTAGTCACAGACAGGGAGAAAATATTTGCAAAAGACGAATATGATGAAAAAAACTGTCATACAAAAATACAAAAACTGTTAAAACTCAACCATAAGAAAACAAACAACTTGATTAAAAATGGGTTGACTAAACAGAGACCTCAATAAAAAGAAGATACATAGATTGCAAATAAGCATAGGAAAAGATGTCCATATATATGTCATCAGAAAATGCATTAAAACAATGAGATACCTCTACACATCAAAATCTGGGACACGGACAACAAATACTGGCAAAATGTAGAGCAATAGAAACTCTCATTCATTGCTAACAGGAATGCAAAATGGTTCAGCTACTTTGGAAGACAGTTTAGCCATTTCTTACAAAATTAAGCACTCTTACCATACAGTACTGGAATCATGTACCTTGATATTAATCAAATGAAATGAAAATTTATCTCCACGCAAAATCCTGGATTATAATTATAATATACAGATGTATTATTATTATATTACATGGATATTTATATATATTATGTTAATATATATTTATTATATTATATACTTATATTATACATAATTATATAAAATATATATATAAATTTTATATTATATATTTAATATATATATTTTACAATATATATTTATAATATTATATATAATATATACATTATATATATCCTCATTAACACATATATAATATTATATATAATATATTATCAATTTAATTATATTTAATTAATTATAATTTAAAATTAATATAATTATTAATAAATAATTGATTACAATTAATTAATTATATTTAAATTAATTAATTTATTATATTTAATGATATTAATATAATATGTATTGATATATAATATTATTATAAAGCATATATTATATTATTTATTATAATTATATTTATAATATTTATAATATATGTATAATTATTATAATTATATATATTATATAATATTATTATATATTATATTATATATATTTTATATATAATGTGTATTAAATATATTATATATAATATGTATATTTTTATATTTATAAAATATAGTTTTATATATATGAGTTTATATATATAAACTCATATACATATATATAAACTTATATATATAAACTCATATATATATGAGTTTATATATATGTAAATAAATATATGTTTATATATATGTTTGTGTGTTTATATATATGTTTAAATATGTTTATATATATTTATATATATAATATGAGTTTATGTATATATTTTTATATATGAGTTTATATATATATTATATATAAGTTTATATATATTATATATCATATAATATTATATTATATTACAATTATTATAATACATGGATATATTTAGGAACTTTGTTTATAAGTGCCCAAGCTTGGAAGCAACCTTCCTTCATTCAGTTCAGTCTCAGTCGTGTCTGACTCTTTGAGATTCCATGGACTGCAGCACATCAGGCTTCCCTGACCATTACCAACTCCCGAAGTTTACTCAAACTCATGTCCATTGAGTCGGTGATGCCATCCGACCATCTCATCCCCTGTCGTCTGCTTCTCCTTCTGCCTTCAGTCCTTCCCAGCATCAGGGTCTTTTCAAATGAGTCAGCTCTTCATATCAGGTGGCCAAAATATTGGAGTTTCAGCTTCAGCATCAGTCCTTCCAGTGAATATTCAGGACTGATTTTATTTAGGAGGGACTGGTTGGGTCTCCTTGCAGTAAAAGGGACTCTCAAGAGTCTTCTCCAACACCACAGTTCAAAAACATCAGTTCTTCAGTGCTCAACTTTCTTTATATCCAACTCTCACATCCATACATGACCACTGGAAAAACCATAGCCTTGACTAGATGGACCTTTGTTGGCAAAGTAATGTCTCTGCTTTTTAATATGCTATCCAGGTTGGTCATAACTTTCCTTCCAAGGAGTAAGCGTCTTTTAATTTCATGGCTGCAATCACCATCTGCAATGATTTTGGAGCCCCAAAAAATAAAGTCAGCCACAGTTTCCACTGTTTCCCCATCTATTTGCCATGAAGTGATGGGACCAGATGCCACGATCTTAGTTTTCTGAATGTTGAGTTTTAAGCCAACTTTTTCACTCTCCTCTTTCACTTTCATCAAGAGGCTTTTTAGTTCTTCTTCACTTTCTGCCATAAGGGTGGTGTCATCTGCATATCTGAGGTTACTGATATTTCTCCTGGCAATTTTGATTCCAGCTTGTGCTTCCTCCAGCCCAGCATTTCTCATGACGTACTCTGCATATAAGTTAAATAAGCAGGGTGACAATATACAGCCTTGACACACTCCTTTTCCTATTTGGAACCAGTCTGTTGTTCCATGTCCAGTTCTAATTGTTGCTCCCTGACCTGCATACAGGTTTCTCAAGAGGCAGGTCAGGTGGTCTGTTATTCCCATCTCTTTCAGAATTTTCCACAGTTTATTGTGATCCACACAGTCAAAGGCTTTGGCATAGTCAATAAAGCAGAAATAGATGTTTTTCTGGAACTCTCTTGCTTTTTCAATCATCCAGCAGATTTGTAAATTTGATCTCTGATTCCTCTGCCTTTTCTAAAATCAGCTTGAACATCTGGAAGTTCACGGTTCACATATTGCCGAAGCCTGGCTTGTAGAATTTTGAGCATTACTTGACTAGCGTGTGAGATGAGTGCAATTGTGCAGTAGTTTGAACATTCTTTGGCATTGCATTTCTTTGAGATTGGAATGAAAACTGACCTTTTCCAGTCACATAGACTGCTGTATTTTATATGCTTTTGAAGTCTGTTTAAGATATGTAATATAAATTATCTGAGCCTATTTTTAGATTATTAGTATTCACATGATCTTGCTGAACACTCTATAATTGTTTTAGTATATTTCTGCATATTTCAAATCATAAATTACTTCTACATTTATAAGACTAGTAGTTCAAAAATGTTTTGAAGATTCTGATCATATATCTACTTGTTAAAATTATCTTTCAAATATATTTAGGATTAATATTCTTTTGGGCTTCCCAGGTAGCCCAGTGGTTAAGAGTCCATGCTTCCACTGCAGTTGTCACATGTTCAGTACCTGCTAGAGGAAGCTCCACATGCTGCAGGGTTCAGCCAGAATTAAAATTCTTCTTTAATATAGTTTACATGTTATGACATGCATTTTGAAATAGCCAAATCAAAATAAAGTACATGAAATAAGTATATATTTTGTTTGTAGAAACTAAAAGCATAGATTTAAATTACTTAAAACATATTCTTTGCACTGTGAGAGTTTTATTTTTACTGTCTTTTTGTATAGCAAATATAATTATTTTGCTTTACTTGAGAAATAATTTAATTCTTATAATTTTGGTGATATGGGTGACTTACCTATCTTCATTTTTGTCTCTTTGTTTCAGATCACAGATTCTTCTCACCTTCCAGTTCACACACCAACAATAAAGAGAAAGGAATTTCATAGTAGAATCCTCTTTCCAACTAAGGTACTTGATTTAGTTATAAATTTAGCAAGTCTTTGAAAAATGACAAGTTGGTTTTGGTCTCTAACCTACCCCTTCCCTTCCCTTCTTTTCTCTTCTTTCCCTCCTTCTTATTTTCCTTGGAGACTTCTGATTAAACATAGCAGAATCAAAAATGCATACCTTTTTTTTTGCTTTCTAATGAAACTTACTAACCCAACCAAAGAGAGGGAAAAAGTAGACAAACAAGTCAATGTAATTTTGGAAGATGGAAGAACCTGAGTGAGAGGTTAGGAAGGCTGGAAAATCTCAATGTCAAGGGCTTAGAAAGGCTTTTAAGCCTTAGAAAGGCTTAAAAGTTATCTTGCTAAGTCACAAGATAACTAAGATTTTGCACACCTAGAAGGATTCAGGAACTAGAGAGACCAGATTCTTAAGGAGGCAGGTGTGACTTGCAGTGCTGAAGAGGAGTAATTGATCATCTGAGAAAGAGCAAGTAGCCTCTGTACACACAGTACTCATGGCACATGGCAGAGTGCAAGTCTGTCCTCCTCGCAGATCAGGAAACAGACACAAGGATGGTGAGAAAACTGGCCAACTAGTGTTTAGGAAAACCAGATTTTGTTATAATTTTGTTATACATATTGCTTTCTTATGACAATAATTTCAGATCAGAAAGACGTGATACAGAAATGGAAAATCTATATTGGGTTGTTAACTTGACAATTTTGTGAAAACATCTACAGTTTTAGTTATTGGGGTCTCAGTGAGAAATTTCAGGGTGCCTTCTGTCTTGAAGGTATAATAGGTCTTGCTTAACTTAATAGGAGTGTTCCATTTCCTGGAGCACATTCTTTTTTATTGATAGTAGAAAATGAAACACATAATTTGTTGTAGAGATAAAATTTTGAAACTATTCTTTCTTCTGAAGAAGATTTTAAGAATCATATTATTTTTGCTACCCCTCCCCAATAAAAATATTTATACATAGGCAATTTTGACTCCATTTGTAATAAAGGAATCATTTGAAAAATTTGTCAATCTAGAATTTTTAAATGTTCAGAACATATCAGCTCAAATAAAAGTCAGGCTTTATTTATTTCTACTGCTCCCAAGTAGTAGTAATGTACATTTGATCACTGCTTAAACAGTTCTCTTTTTTTCTTCTACTCCTCCACACCCACTTTCTCTTCTTGGTAATTTTGGATTTTTTAAATCAGAATTTTCCAATTATGAAGTACTTAGGGGCAAGAATTGTAAGTGCTGGTGAGAAAAGGGAAAGCTGCTTTTCTTTGTTTGGGGCAGGATGGGTTGAAGGAATCACCAGAATCACCTATTCTAAGTTATTTAACCATCAATGTGCGTTTGGTCTCTTTGTTTTGTAGCATAAGGCCCACCGGTTTTTCCTCACATCCTTCACCGCTCCCACCAAGTGTCACCAGTGCACGTCTCTGATGGTGGGTTTGATAAGACAAGGCTGCACCTGTGACGGTGAGATCTGAGGAAGGGACACATGGAGTCAGACTCATAGTACTTGTATCTAAGTGTTTTAGTCAACTCAGTGCCATAACAAAGTACAGAGGCTGGGTGGCTTCCCAACACAGTCTTACGTTCCTCACTGGCGGGAAGTCTCAGATGGGAGTGGCAGTGTGGCGCAGTTCTGGAGAGCCCTTCTTCCAGGCTGCGGGCTGGTTGCTGTGTCTTCACGGGGAGGAGGAGCCAGGGAGCTCTGTGCGGTCTTTTCTATAAGGGCGCTAATCCCATTCAAGAGGGCCCCACTCCCGCATCCTCTCAAGGACCCCATCTCCAAATACCATCACATGAGGATTAGAATTTCAAGATATCACTTATGAAGGAATGCAAGTATCCAGTCAGAACTTTCGTTCTGTTTGAGTTGTGGAAGCATGACAGTGAACTGATCGCTTTACTAAAAATCCCTCTGAACCTACTTCCTATGGGGGCTTCTGAAGAGACCTCTCTCCAAAGAGCCTCATACCCTCACACCCCAGGGGGGTGTGCTGTGTAGTCTTCAGGCAAGGCCACAGTTATCAGGAAAATGTGTTTAGATAAATTTTGTTCTCTATAGCAATAGTAGAGTTTTGAGGACCACATTCACCAGCTTATGTGACAGGAAAATAGAATGCCAGCCTTGAGTTGTAATCCTTTTATTTTACTCATTGAATTTGTTATGATGTCATTGAAAGAAAGAAATATAGTTGGGAATTATCAAACAGTATATCACAGTGCCGCACAGGCACCTCATACCTCATCCTAGGGAGCAGACTCTGTGCCAGTCTCTTGAGTGCCCACTCAGGCACACACAGTGCAGAGTAAGACAGCTTTCCTGTCCTCAGCACTTTGACAATCAGAGGTGCCTTAACCATAAATGCATCCCAGCATATTAAACAAAGTGGGATTTTACATGGGGAATTATGTGCCCATGCAATCCTCCTAGGGCAGCAGAGGCAGCTTCTGAGCTGAGCTCCCAGAGCATTTCCTGCTGCCAGCATCACTCCGTCTCTGCTGATTCTGGAACAGCTCCCACCAGGGTCACAAGAAGATGGTGAATCTGGAAGCTGCCACTACTGCTGCAGCCCTCAGAACCTGCAACTTCTGCCAGTGTCAAGAAACACCCTGCTGCTGCAGAGTTAAGAGAGTTTCCATCCAATTCAGAAGCCATTCCTGCGGATGTCACTTCCTGTCAATATCCAAGCCAGTAAAATTGATGTGCTGCGTTTTGCAGCTCTCCTAGCTTGACTCAGTTCAGAGTCTCACAGAAGGTTATCTTACCAGCAGAACTTACGTCAGGTCCAAAACTTAGTTCCTAGGGAGTCTGGGACAGGTAGTTTTTAGCATTTTGATCTCTAGGATAGAGTAGACAGAATTGCAGTGGGGGTTGAGGGAGTCAACCCATTTTACCCCCTACAATCTTATCTCTCTATTTCCTTCAAAAAGCATGTGGGTTCTCATGTCACACAGCCTGTGTAGAAAAAGCTCCAAGAGCTTGCCCAGTGCCTTTTCATCAGAAAGAATGTGCCTTCTGTCTAGACCCACAGAAAGGCTTGGGAACAGCCTATGAAGGCCATGTCTGGGTAAGTGTAAAAGTTCTTGGTTCCCATGAGCTCTTAAAGAGTTTATTAATCACTTTTCAAAATGCATGTACAATATCTGTCAGAAGTATTTATGATACGTTATACAATATTATATTAAATTGAAAATATTTTTTGCATCCTAAGAATATGATTTCAGAACTAAGAGTCGCTGTCCCCAATAGGATATTTTCAAATTTCCCAAAGTTTTCTATTTAGACATTACCTTGCTAATGCTGGCTTGAACAAATGCTAAAATCTGTCCTAATGATGTGACTTTGACTTTCCAGTCAGCAATAATAACTTATGAGATTAAAAGTGAAAAAAATCTTCCTGAAAAACATTTAATATCTGAGGTGATTTTGGAGTTACCCAATTTGAATTTAATGTTACCTTAGAGGCAAAGCTATGACTGTTATTTGAATGAATTGCTTGTGTTAATTGAAATAGTATTTAATGTATTTTTCACATGCATGAATTATTCAGTAATCAAAAGAATTGCCTTGCTTTTAAATTTTAATCATGTTATGTCTTGGGTTCTAATCTTTTAACAAGAAAAGTGATAGATTTGTAACACATTTGTATTGTTTTAATTTTATATGTAATAATTGTGTAGTGTTTGATGTTCCAGCTTGGATTGCTTTTATTTGTTTCTTGAAAAATAAAAACTAAAGATTCCAAAGAAAGCAGGCATGAAAAAAGGATGGCAGAGGGCATTGGCCATAGTTTGTGACTTCAAACTCTTCCTATATGATATGAATGAAGAAGACTCAAAACCCAATGTTGTAGTGAGTCAAGTAATTGACATGAGGTAAGCTTTGAAAGGGAGAATGTTTTTATCAAAACAAGATCTGGAATAAAAATGGTTTCTGATATTCTTTTAAGTAGTGTTTTCACAACTTTACATTAAGTCCCCAATTTTCACCATTGCCATGAGGATTTTAAAAAAGATTTTTGCCTAAAGTTTGCATCATTACCTCTTAGGTGTGGATTATAACTGTGTAATATTTGTAAGAGTTTTTTTTTAGTTAGAAGTTTATTTTTTTAGTTAGAAACTTATTTTTTTAGTTAGAAGTTTTTTTTTTTTTTTTAGTTAGAAGTTTATTTGCATGTGTTTATAGCAGGACTTCCCTGTTAGCTCAGCAGTAAAGAATCTGCCAGCAATGAAGGAGCTGCACATTTGATCCCAGGGTCGGGAAGATCCCCTGGAGGAGAGCATGGCAACCCACTCCAGTATTCTTACCTGGAGAATCCCATGGACAGGGGAGCCTGGTGGACTACAGTCCACGGGGTCACAAAGAGTCGGACATGACTGAAGTGACTTAGCACAGAACAGCACATGTGCATAGCAGGAAAGGAAATACAATCTCAAAACCAAAAGTTCTTTACATTGAGATATTATTTATGTATTATAAAGCTCACCATTTAAAAATGTGCAATCCACTGGTTTTTAGTATATCACAAGCTGTAAAACCATCACCACAACCTAATGTTAGATTTTCATCACATCAAAAAAAACCACAAACCCTTATTAATTAGCAGTCATTCTACATTCACCACTGAACCCAGCCCCTGACAACCATTAACCTGTTTCCGTCTCTATGGATTTGCCTATTTTAAATTTTTATATAAATGAATCATAAAACATGTGGAATTTTGTGACTGGCTTCTTTCACTGAGCATAATTTTTCAAGACTCACCCATGGAGCATGTATCAGGACTTCATTTTTCATGACTGATGCCCTTTGTCAGGTTGAGAAACTGGCCTTCTCTTCCTGGTTTGTTGAGTCTTTTTATCTGGAAAGGTGTTGTTGGATATTGACAGATGGTTTCTTTTTTTGTTTCCTTTTTTTTTTCATTTATTTTTATTAGTTGGAGGCTAATTACTTTACAATATTGTAGTGGGTTTTGTCATACATTGACATGAATCAGCCATGGAGTTACATGAATTCCCCATCCCCATCCCCCCTCCCACCTCCCTCTCCACCCGATTCCTCGGGGTCTTCCCAGTGCACCAGGCCCGAGCACTTGTCTTATGCATCCCACCTGGTCTGGTGATCTGTTTCACTATAGATAATATACACGCTGTTCTTTCGAAACATCCCACCCTCGCCTTCTCCCACAGAGTCCAAAAGTCTGTTTTGTACATCTGTGTCTCTTTTTCTGTTTTGCATATAGGGTTGTCATTACCATCTTTCTAAATTCCATATATATGTGTTAGTATGCTGTAATGGTCTTAATCTTTCTGGCTTACTTCACTCTGTATAATGGGCTCCAGTTTCATCCATCTCATTAGAACTGATTCAAATGAATTCTTTTTAATGGCTGAGTAATATACCATGGTGTATATGTACCACAGCTTCCTTATCCATTTATCTGCTGATGGGCATCTAGGTTGCTTCCATGTCCTGGCTATGATAAACAGTGCTGCGATGAACATTGGGGTGCACGTGTCTCTTTCAAATCTGGTTTCCTCAGTGTGTATGCCCAGAAGTGGGATTGCTGGGTCATATGGCAGTTCTATTTCCAGTTTTTTAAGAAATCTCCACACTGTTTTCCATAGCGGCTGTACTAGTTTGCATTCCCACCAAAGGTGTAAGAGGGTTCCCTTTTCTCCACACCCTCTCCAGCATTTATTGCTTGTAGACTTTTGGATAGCAGCCATCCTGACTGGCGTGTAATGGTACCTCATTGTGGTTTTGATTTGCATTTCTTTGATAATGAGTGATGTTGAGCATCTTTTCATGTGTTTGTTAGCCATGACAGATGGTTTCTTCTGTCTCTTGAGATCGTTGTTTTTCCCTTAACTCCCATGATTTATTACATTATTTTTTAATTGGAGGAAAATTGCTTAACAATGTCATGTTGCTGTATGACACCATAAATCAACCATAATTATACATATATACCTCCCCTCTTGAGCCTCCTTCTTCCCCACCCCTGCCAATCCCACCCCTCTAGGTTGTCATAGAGCACCAGACTGGGTTTCCTGTGCTACATAGCAACTTCTCACCAGTTACCTATGTTACACACAATAGTGTATATATGTTGACACTACTTCCTCCATTCATCCCACTCTGTCCCCACTGTGTCCACAAGTCCATCTTCTACATCTGTGTCTCCATCGCTTCCCTGCAAATAGGTTGATCAATACCATTTTTCTAGATGCCATATATATGTTGTATTTGTTGTTGTTCAGTCACTAAGTCATGTTCAAGTCTTTGCAACCCTATGGCCTGCAGCATGTCAGGCTTTCCTGTCCTTCATTATCTCTTGGAGTTTGCTCAAACTCCTGTCCATTGAGTTGGTGATGCCATCCAACCATCTCATCCTCTGTTGCCCCCTTCATTTTTGGCTCAGCTTCTTCATTCTTTCTGGAGCTATTTCTCTGCTCTTCCCTAGTAGCATATTGGACACCTACCGATGTGGCAGCTAATCTTCTGGTGTCATCTTTTATATTTTCATACTGTTAATGGGATTCTTTTTTTTTTTTTAAGTCATAACAGGAACATGATTGACTTAGTAATTTAAATAATTACGTACAATTTAGGGGGTTGAGCAGAGTCATGTGCTAAGTGGAAGTGCATACATGCACATGTTTTCATTCACACAGCCAGTCTATGTCTTTTGTAGTACATTTAATCCATTTGCATTTCAGGTAATTATCGATATGTGTGATCCTATTGCCGTTTTCCTAATTATTTTGGGTTTATTTTCTGTAGGTCTTCTCTTTTTCTTGTGTTTCTTGCCTAGAGAAGTTCCTTTAGCATTTGTTGTAAAGCTGGTTTGTTGGTGCTGAATTCTCTTAACTTTTGCTTGTCTGGAAATCTTTTGATTTCTCCATCAAATCAGAAAGAGAGTGTTGCTGGGTAGAGTATTCCTGGTTGTAGGTTCTTCCCTTTCATCACTTTAAATATATTGTGCCATTCCCTTCTGCCTTGTAGTTTCTGTTGGGAAATCAGCTGATTACCTGATGGGAGTTCCCTTGTGTGTTATTTGTCATTTTCCCTTGTTGCTTTTGATATTTTATCTTTGTAATTTTGTCAGTTTGATTACTGTGTGTCTTGATGTTTTCCTCTTTGGGTTTATCCTGCCTGGGACGCTCTGTGCTTCTTAAACTTAGTTGACTATTTCTTTTCCCATGTTAGGGAAGTTTTCAACTCTTTTCATATATTTTCTCAGGTCTTTTCTCTTTCTCTTCTCCTGACACTCCTATAATGTGAATGTTGGTGCGTTTAATGTTGTCCCAGAGGTCTCAGGCTCTCTTCATTTCTTTTCATTCTTTTTCCTATTTTCTGTTCTGTGCCAGTGATTTCCACCATTCTGTCTTCCAGGTCGTTTATCCCTTCTTCTGCCTCAGTAATTCTGCTATTGATTCCTTCTAGTAGCATCTCTGTTTGTTTGTTCTTTAGTTCCTGTAGGTCTTTGGTAAATGCCTCTTGCATCTCCTCCATTGTTTTCCTGAGATCCTGGATCATCTTCACTATCATTATTCTGAATTCTTTTTCTGGAAGTTTGCCTATCTCCACTTCATTTAGCTGTTTTTCTTGGGTTTTATCTTGTCCCTTCATCCAGGACATAAATTTCTCCTTTTTCATCATGATTAACTTTCCGTAATATGATTTTTGTTTTAGCTGCTGTGGGGCTGTGCTTCTTCTTGCTTCTGTCTTCTCTCTGATGGATGAGACTAAGAGGCTTGTGTAAGCTTCTTGATGGGAGGGCCTGGCAGTGGGAAAAACTGAGTCTTGCTCTGGTGGGCAGGGCCTTTCTCAGTAAAACTTTAATCCAAATATCTGTTGATGGGTGGGGTTGCACTCCCTCCCTGTTAGTTGTTTGGCCTGAGGTAACCCAGCCCTAGACTCTAAGGTAGGGTTAAATCCAAGAGGGTTTGTGTCAAGAGGACCTTCCCAGCCTGCTGCTGCCAGGGCCTTTGTCCCTGTGATGAGCCCTTGCTAACCCAGGCCTCCACAGGAGGCCCTCCAACACTAGCAGGTAGTTTTGGTTCAGTCTCTTGTAGGATCACTGCTCCTTTCCTCTGGGTCTTGGTGCATGCAAGATTTTGTTTTTTGCCTCCAAGACTGGAGTCTCTGTTTCCTTCAGTCCTGTGGAAATCCTATAATCAAATCCCACTGGCCTTCAAGGCCACATTCCCTAGGGATTCTCATCCCTTTGTTGGCTCCCGAGGCTGGGATGCCTGACGTGGGGTTCAGAACCTTCACAACAGTGGCAGAACTTCCTTTGTATTATTGTTCTCCAGTTTGTGGGTCACCTACCCAGAGGGTAGGGGATTTGATTTTATCGTGATTGCATCCCACCTACTGTCTCGCTGTGGCCTCTTCTTTGTCTTTGGATGTGGAGTATCGTTTTTTTTTTGGTGGGTTCCAGTATCCTCTTGTTGATGGTTGTTCAACAGCTAGTTGCAATCTTAGTTCTGTCATAGGAGGAGATGAATGCACATCCTTCTACTCTATTATCTGAGCACATCCCTTGTTCATGGGGTTCTTGAGGCAAAAATACTGATGTGATTTGTCATTCCCTTCTCCAGTGATATATGCGTTAGTATATATTTGTTTTTCTCCCTCTGACTTACCTGTATAATAGGCTCTAGGATCATCCATCTCACTAGAACTGATTCAAATTCATTCATTTTTATGGCAGAGTAATAGTCCATTGTATATACATACCACACCTTCTTTATCCATTCATCTATCAGTGGACATCTAGGTTGCTTCCATGTCCTAGCTATTGTAAATAGTGTTGCAGTGAACACTGGGGTATATGTATCTTTTAGAACTGTGGCTTCCTCAGGAT